TCGAGTTTACGAGATGTTTTTTTAGTCTTTTTGGTAAGGGTCTTTATAGGATTTTTATAACTTCTGGAATTTTTAAGGAGGAGCTTTCTAAGATGATGCGCACCTTCATCAATAATTCATTGCTCAATCGCCGGAATGTCTTTCTTTCTTGCCTAATCTCTTTCTGATTCATGTTGGAATATTTGTTTAATGCGCAGACATTTACACCTATCAGTGGGAAATGCTATTTTTACAAAAAACATAAATATAATTCTGTTATTTCCAACATTATAATTTATATAACTTACAAATATAAACCCATCCAGAAATTTCTCCAGCTTGGAGCCAATTAAATAAGTATACATTATTCTATGCCAGATTGAGTATAATGAGATATCATTTGATTATGTTTAAGGACAGAATCATCTAAAGGAGATGGGCGAACAGAAAGCCTATAGCTTCAGATATATAAAAAGAGGCCCATGGGCCTTGAATCGCTCTTCTGATAAACTGTACAACCTATCACTTCTATTTGAAGCCTCAAAGTATCCTGTATATTTACATAAACCCTTGAAATTCCAATTCACACTCTGAGAACCCAAGATGATTCTAAGCCAATTAGTACCTGAGAGTTGGTCATGGTGACCTACTTATCACTTGTCATTCTCTGAGGACTCATCAACTAAGTTTGATGATTCTAAGCCAATTAATACCTAAAATATTTTTTAAAATTATAATCATAAAATTTTATAAGTAGGTCAAAGTGACCTACTTTTCAATTGTTTTACTCCAAGGAACCAAGATGCATCAACTGACAAAGTTTGATGATTCTAAGCCAATTAGTACCTGTAATATTTAATTAAAGCCATAAATTTTCAAAAGTAGGTCACCGTGACCTACTTTTCAGTTGCTGTACTCCGAGGACCAAAGATACATCGACTGACAAAGTTTGATGATTCTAGCCAATAAGTACCCAAAATATTTAATTACAGCCATAAATTTTCAAAAGTAGGTCACAGTGACATACTTTTCAGTCAACCTACTCCGAGGACCAAAGATGCATCAACTGACAAATTTTGACGATTCTAAGCCAAATAATTCCTGAAAATATTAAATACAGCCATAAAATTTCAAAAGTAGGTCACCCTGACCTACTTTTCAGTTGTTGTACTCCGAGGACCCAAGACGCATCAACTGACAAAGTTTATTGATTCTAAGCCAATTAGTACCCGAAATATTTGATTAAAGCCATAAATTTTCAAAAGTAGGTCACCGTGACCTACTTTTCAGTTGTTGTACTCCGAGGACCCATGACGTCTAAACTGACAAAGTTTTATGATTCTAAGCCAATTAGTACCCGAAATATTTTATTAAAGCCATAAATTTTCCGAAAGTAGGTCACGGTGACCTACTTTTTAGTCGACCTACTCCGAAGACCCATGACACATCAACTGACAAAGTTTGATGATTCTAAGCCAATTAGTACCCGAAATATTTAATTAAAGCCATAAATTTTCAAAAGTAGGTCACGGTGACCTACTTTTTAGTCGATCTACTCTGAAGACCCAAGATGCATCAACTGACAAAGTTTGATGATTCTAAGCCAATTAGTACCCGAAATATTTAATTAAAGCCATAAATTTTCAAAAGTAGGTCACTGTGACCTACTTTTTAGTCGACCTACTCTGAAGACCCAAAGATGCATCAACTGACAAAGTTTGATGATTCTAAGCCAATTAGTACCCGAAATATTTAATTAACGCCATAAATTTTCAAAAGTAGGTCACTGTGACCTACTTTTTAGTCGACCTACTCCGAAGACCCAAGATGCATCAACTGACAAAGTTTGATGATTCTAAGCCAATTAGTACCTGAAATATTTAATTATAGTCATATAAATTGAAAAGTAGGTCACGGTGACCTACTTTTCAGTTGACCTTTTTTGAGGACCCAAGATGCATCAACTTACAAAGTTTTATGATCATAGGACTTAAAATGTTCAAATTATGCCTCTAAAATGCTTTGAAATCGAATGCCTGCAAAGTTCAAAAAGTAGGTCACTGTGACCTACTTTTTAATAAATATGTTTTATGGCCCCAAGATGCATCATCTTACAAGATTTAATGATTCTAAGCCTCCCCGTATTCGAATTAATGACCTTAATTGTTTTAAAAAAGATTAGCCATAAAATTCAAAAAGTAGGTCAAGGTGACCTACTTTTTAGTTGAAGTACTTTGAGGACCCAAGATGCATCAACTGACAAAGTTTGATGATCATAGGCCTTAAATTGTTCAAAATATGCCTCTAAATCATTTTGAAAAAGAATGGCCGCAAAATTTAAAAAGTAGGTCACCGTGACCTACTTTTGAGTCAACATGATATGAGGTCCTTAGATGCACCAACTGACAAGATTTGATGATCCTAGTCCTTATAGTAAGCAAAATATCAACATTTTAATAAAATGTAATTTTTGGTCAACTTTGAAGTGACCTTGAGACCACGCCCTTTGCCCCAGGGTAAATCCCCGTGCAAATTTTAATCTACAACATATCCTCATCCTTTTGTGTAAGTTTGGTGATAATCTGCCCAGTGGTTCTTGAGAAGAAGATTTTTTAGCAACCAGTACTTTTGTTTCTATTTTCCTAATTATCTCCCCTTGTTAAAGGGTCACAACCCCAGTTTTAGTATAAAAGGGAGCCCTTGGGCCAAGGATACCCTGTGACAAATTTGACAATAATTGGCCAAGGGGTTCTTGAGTTATGGCCCATATTCTAAAAAGTTTACGCACACCGCACAAATGGCCATAGCATTAGCTCTTTGAGCCTTTGGCTCAGAAGAGCTAAAAATCATGTTCAGTTTGTGAATTTAGTATTTAGAGTAAAGTTCTCATTATTGAAATTTATGAAATTATGATAAACAAAACTTTTCTGAGGAAAATTTTTTCGGCAAAATTTATTCTTTTATTAAAAAAATTAATGTGATATTCGTGGGGTTCGAACCCTAGCAATAAAAATCCTGAGTATCATTTTCTTTCGACACTAGCACGCTAACCACTAGACTACACAAGTCCTGATGAAGTGTGGCATTTAAATCATGTTTGTGATATGACCCTTGACTTAATGGACTTCAAGTATTTCTCGAAAAGATGCGAATGTTATGTCATAAAAGTATATTTTTAAGGTATAGTGGGTCATTGCTCCATATTTTTGGTAACCAAAAAATATATATTTTTATGCAAACTTTGAGGATTAACTTTAAAAAAGGTGGAGTGAAGACCCACTCATATCGAAAAATAGTATTATAGTATGAGAAAATGACTGTTTTTGCCCGTTTTAGTGTGTGTCTAATATTTCACAGGCAAATAATTTCAATCTTCGAGGGATTTTTGCAAATTGTAGAGATTTTACATAAAGTATATTTTAATGTTAGACGAAATATCAAGGAAAATTTTGATATAATTGAAATTTAATTTTTCATCTTAATGTTTGTCACACTATAGGCTTATCGCTCGTCATGTTCACCCATCTCCTTACATATTTTTCTAGGTCACTTACCCACGTCATCTAACAAATGGATTTCAAGTAACCCCTAAGTCATAAAATCTTAATTAATTTTAAATTTATCCTTTATAGTTTAATTCTAAAAACATAAAGCATGTCATAATTCAAAAATTTATTTCTGATATTAAAATAATACACATATTGCACCAATTATATATATTTGACTTTTTAAAAAATTCACATGGCATTTAACATTGAGAATGCTGAAAATCAAAGCATATTTTTAGATGCAAATACATGAGCATCAAATTTTTAACTTTTATACTGTAGATCACTTAATTTTCGTGAAACTTTGTGTTCGAGATTGTTATATGGTATTCACTGCAAGAGAAAATTTCACAAATTTCGGTCATTGCTCTATTTTATCTTTAGTAATACTTAAATACATGTACGCAAGAATGAAATTTTAATGAGCAGGCAGTCTCCCGTAACTAACAAAAAATAAAGTTCTCACAAATAAAAAGTGATTTACAGTAATAGAAATGATTCATAATTACAGGACTATAACATATTTATCATTTAAATATATCTTTTCCTCTAACTTCTACATGTACTTCTCTTTTTAAAAAATGATAAGAATTTGACTTAAACATCTAAGTATGAAGTCCTTTGAAATATCAAACAAAAGATTTTTAAGTCTGACAAATGAAACATAAAAATAATCGTGAGTCCTATATTTGAATTGACAACAAAAACTTTACCACATAGAAATCACTTAAATGTAAAGCTACATTCTCCATTCAGTATGAAAGACTTTTTTCACATAAAATGGAAATATTTAAAACAGCATGAATGATGTTCATGAATTAAAGTGATTGCATGATCCTTTGATGAATGTCTTAAAATTTTATCACATGGGCTTTTTAACCAAGGTAGTGACATAAGACTAAAAAAAAAAAACAATGAAAAACAGATTAAACAGTTGAATTTCGATATCTCAAAGATCAATATCTCGCATACCATGGATAGGGTATTGGAAGTTCTGTCCACTTTTTCTTCACGTTCTTTTAACCTCAATATCTAAAACTCTCCATTCCCATGAAGTTTAAGATAACAAGGTTTGACTTTATTTTATTTATTAATTGTGGATCTTTCCTCTTCCATATTTACCACTCAGTCAGACTTAAGGTAATGCCACACAACTTTGTCTTAAAATATTGAATTACAGCACAGAGTTTGATAGAAAAAAAGAAATCAACGTCATGTAAAGGTGTCTGCAATAATGACCTCAAATATATAGAATAAAAGAATATCAATGCAAGGTATCTTTAAAACATCATTGCATAATACATAACTGTTTTTATATTGATTTCTTTCCATTCATGACAAATCCATGAAAAATGCAGTGAAAGAAATTACAAATGAGGAAAAAATTCCCAAGGAATAATTCAAGACACTGTGAAAACAGTTCTTGTTTAAATCTAAAGAGATTACAGAGCAAGAATTCAAATATAATATTGTAGAAATATATTGTACACGTTTTAAAAACACAAAAAATATATAGATGTCAAGTCCTTTCCTAGATTCAATATAGTAGTTGTATAAATTTGATATATTAAAAAAAAGAATCCATACCTTTGTCTGATTAGAGCCTACTTTATAAGAAGAAGATCTTAAATCATTCAAAATGCTTACAGTCAGACAGAAGTTAATTCTCCTTTGCATTTTTCACAGCAGTTGAAGGTCAGATTGTCAAACTTGGCATATGGATGGTAACGACTGGCAACAGCTGAGGTCAAGGTCATTTGATTGGTTTCTTTTTCTGTTTCCCTAGACAACAGCTGCAATAAAAGATTAATTATTTTCTAACAAAATATGTACTATTCAGCAAGATTTTCTAGTCAGGTTTGTGTTGAAGAACTGATTGAAAAAGGACGCAACATGTTTTGATACCTTTGTGATTAAAAGAAAAATGAGCTGCTACTTCAACCACAAATCACAATTCATTTATCAGAAAGATTTTTTGACAGAAAGACAAAGCGTCCCATCCTCAACTTTGTTATAAAAAGAAAGAAAGAGAGAAATTATGTTAAAAACCATCTTCTGAAAATCAACAGCTTCAACTTCATTAACATATGAAAACCAATTTTCATAAGAAGTACTGAAACACTTCTATAGTTTGTCTACACACACAAACACACACACATCAATTCAATAGTTATTCAACATCAGAAGTGAACCTAATCTTTCACTATTGCTCGTCTAGAGTGGTCCTGTTATTTATATTGGGCAAGTCTTTGGCTCATTACACATGATTAGAGTTCTAGTATACAAGATAACAAAACATGTATACAGTTTGCTACAAACCTGGTGGGCATATGATTCTGCCAGGGTGAGATTGTCTTCCCATGGTGGGGTAGGCTCCATCTGAATCACAGTGTCATGGGGCAGTAGTCGATATCGAATATTCTCTGCCAGTCTCTGGTTCATACGAGCCAGGTCCAAGGCATTTGTGGAGGGTACCTTTGGGGTTTTCTTGGCAGTTAGTGGGTCAAAAGCAGATCTGATTTGTTCTAAACTCCTAGAAATTATAATATTTCTAATATATCTCACCTTTAATAACTCTATGAATAATTAAGATATAAAAGTTATATTAAAATGTGTCTTAAAAAGAACTGGGGTACATGTACTACATATGTACTCTTTTGCAGGGCAAATTGATATAGTTTGGAGAAATATGATGCAACAGCAATTGTTTAATGAACTCAACATCATTTGATAAAGGCCAGTTAGTGCTTTGCTAAACTATATCAATTTTCCCTGCAAAAGAGCAGTACCAAAATTATTGTGAAAGAGTTTCTTCATGTCTTCTTCCCAATCAATCATTAGATATGATGATTTTTAAATACCATACAGCATAATGGGGATTTTTAGCAACCAGCTGATTTTGGCATTATTAATTATGGTTTTAGCAATGCTAAAAATACATGTCGCTGATAATTCAATCAATATTGTAGGAGTAAATAAAATGAGTTATCCCTAAAATCACAAAAAATTAATCATGGTTGTAATACATGTAAATGTCAAGTTTTAGGATAAAATTGCTAATTTACTAGTTGCTGAAATACTTGTCATATGATATGGTAACTAAATAGCTATTGTATGATTTACAATCAACTAAATTATGATGTAGACATAAAAACAATCAAATATCAAGGATTTAGAAATTAAAAATTATGGATATTGTTGAGTCTTACTTGTACGTCTCGAAGAGATTTCTCCGCAGTTCATGCCTATCATTTAGCAACTGTTGCAATGCATGCTGGGATTCCTGACAGAGCATTGCAAAGTAAGCTTTATCTGCAGCCAGTTCATCAATCATAACTCTACAAAACAAAAACCAAATGTACTTAACCTTCATATCACAAACTTTTCAAATCAGATTTTGCTGCAATGCTCAAGTATGAGTGTTACTCTGCAAAGAGAGGTAAGTCTATAAATGATAAATCAATATGTTTCCTCCATAAAATTTTTACTTTCAACTAAGATTTGTCTCAAATTATTCGGGAAGGTATGCACATTTCCTTAAGTTTCATTTTTGTCTCCTACTTCTGTTAGAAAAATTGTCTTCATTACAGAAAAAATCCCACTGTAGTGAGAAGAGAGCCATTCTACTTTAAGTGCATGTGCACTTTTAGAAATAGTATTTGAGTGTGCACAATTTCAATCTACTACTACAATTATAAAATTAAATCTATCTAATCTACCAAGTAACACATCATAAATAAAAGTGTTCCAAGGAGCACACTGTCACCTGCTGCAGCAACATTACAGTTTAATAATATGTGTATCAATATGTACAGTGTGATAATCTGAAAAAAATATTAGTTTCAAACTATTTAACTTAATGTGGAGTTGACAAGCTTGAAGTTTGTTGAGAACTTAACCTAAATATGAATTGTTAAATGTGCATGCATGTATATAGTGAACAATCATTAGTGGCTCAAAAGTGTAGTGAGCATTAAACCCAGAGGATCTCAGTTAAATTAACACATTCCCATATCATTTAATTAGGTAATACTTCAATTATTTCTGTGATATGTTCTCCAAACATGCCTTGTGACACATCCATATCTTTTACAAGGCTTAGTCAAATCAATAAAAAAAGTCTTAGGTACAGTTCAAATTCATGGTCTATAAACCTACTAGTATTTTACAAAAGGTCAATTAACATGCTATATATCAAACCCAAAACTCTTGCAGTCCAAAGGATGTTAGGCTCAAGTGATTTTTTTTTAAAGTGACTCAAACGTCAAGTTCAAGGTCACAGGATCTGTACACCTAGTACTTCATGAAATGTCTAAACAGGTCACGATGTCACTGAGAAATTATATCTTAACAATGAATTTATGGCCATGTGATGAACATCCATCTATACAATGATAAACAGGGATTGCTCAAATTATATGGTGTTATATCAGGTAAATCATTTGCAAATCCAAAAATGTATATTGATATGAACTGGAATTTCAATTTAGAACTCTACATTGCCTCAGTAAGACTGATATGTATTCACTTACTTTTTCTGGTGATAAAAATTTCACATTCAGTTCAGTTCTAATTTAACACTCCTCAATGCTTGTGCTACCTACCGACTCGCTAAAAACTTGCTGCGCCACATGTCTGCCTGGATTGAGATTTTATCCATATGTTCATAGTCATCTGACAGCTTCTTGGAGAAATGACCAAGTTCCTTGGAGAGCTGAGCTTTGTCTCTGAAAATGAAGTCCAAATGATGCTATAATGAGATCATGCAAAGGCCAACCATTATTTAACAATGCATTATTTAGCAATGTTTTCATCATAATAAAAAATATAATTACAAATGCTGAACATTGAACGAATTCAACTTTGTAACACACAATAATGAAGAAATATTATGAGCTTAGAAAATACAGAAGGACTACAGCACTTTCATTTTGTTTGAAATCTCCACTCTTATCTTAATAGAATACTAAGACTGTTTGTGTGATTTCATACATGTAATTCTTAATTTTCCTTTTCAATTTAAAGTCATTCCTGTTTAAAGTTTAGACTCAGAGTAACAAACTTCTGGGCTTATTTAAAACAAGATAAGCATCTAAGTTACAGTCTAAATGACTTTTTCTCTTTACAGCATAAAAGTTCAGTATCAGTAAAACTAGCCCATGTTTCTATTTCTAGTCCCCTAGAAGGAGGAGAGGGCTAGTTTGAATCAAACTGAATAAAGGAGGATTCATTTTAGTAATTCAGTTTAGCAAACCTGAAATAAGGATAACATTAATTGACCACTAAATTTAACAAACCTGACAAGATGCTCCATTGTGAAATGCAGGTCATCCCCTACTGATGCCACCAACAGCTTCTTAAGCTCTGTGTTAATCTATAAAAAAAAAGGGGATTTTACTTTTATTTCACTGTAAATGTTTTATAACAGTAGTGAAATAAATAAAGAGATGATAAATAAGAGTAAAGGGTTTTAAAAGTCTATCGTAAAAGTTATTGAATTAAATTTCTAAATTAATATGGTAAGAAGAGCCATGTATCTGAAGAAACGTTGACAGTATTAAGAAAGTAACTTGTCCTAACCCCCTCCACCTATCCTCAAAGTTCCGAGTCTGACATTTGTTTGAGTTGGTGTGAACCTCTCCTTGAAAAAAATTCCTGGATCAGCACTTGCAAACTAATCTGAGATAAGGAACTTTTCAGCAGGATTGACATTTTAAAGAATTTGTTGTCTACTTACAATACCTTTTTTTTTTTGATTTTTAAAGCTTTATACAATAAGTTTAGAATTTGACTTTACCTGAAGCTGTACATCAAGCTGTTTCGTCAGGCTGGCAATCTGGGTGTCCATTTGCTTCCTTAAAGCTGCATTTTCTTCCCTGAGTTTTTTAATCTCTTCAGATTCTAGTCTTCCTCCTGCTTCTTCAGCATTATCTCTGCCATTATCCTCCACCAACTCAGGAGCTTTCCTCACTAAAATGCCTTCCTTTCCATCTCCACTTTTATTAGACATGTCCATATCCCCTGTCTTCAGGGGACTTACTTTGTATACAAGTTTACCTCCATTTTCTGAAGAGCTTTCTCTGGGGTAAGGCTCAACATTTGCTACAGGTTGAACATATTTTGTCTCCCCTTTGCTGCTTTCCACTGGTTTTCTTGTTTGTGTTTGGAAGTTGTATTTTGGTAGTGGCTGTCTCACAAGAATTGTGCCTTTCTCTTCCAGTGCTGCTTTGCTTTTCCTAATTTCTTTACCTTTAGCAGCAGAGCCACTTTTTGTTTCTCGGATGACCTGGCTATTGGCAATGATTGTCTTAGGCCTGACCAAAGCTTCGGCCATCTTGATTGTACTAAAACCCTGTATAATGAATAACATCAAACTTAAGTATCTTGACACACCAGACCTATCAGAAAATGAAATGAATAAAAGAAAACAGACTCAAAACAACAACTACAAAAATAAATATCAAGAAGTGAAAATTGCAACTACTATAACTAGGTAATCATTCCCTTGAAAATGATAAAAATTTAAATAGCAATCCAATTTGTGACATATATAAAACCAACATATGTTTAAATAATAGTACATGTTATACATTTAATTAACTTTCAAAAGAATGGCACTTAGGTAAATTTGTCAAATAAAACCCTATTTTCCAAGGAAAAAATCTCTAAATTCAAATAATCCTAATGTGCTTACTTGTTCTAAAGCTAAAATAAAACCCCTCCTATACTTGTTAACTCCTGTCACAGAATCGTTACAAAGCTAACTAATTGTCACACAAATCGCATGTTTCTCTTCATGCATGACAGCTCAAAACATCACTTACAGGATACCACAATTTCTGTATATTGACTTACAGTATACTAAAACAACAATAAACCAGTCAAAACAATTAATGCTTTCCCTTCAGGGATATTCTGTTATATTCCACTTTAGTATTATATATATTCTTACGATGAACCTATAAGGCACTTAAAAAGTCTGTCAACAAATTAATTTGGATATTAAATGTCTCCCTTTTTCCCTACCAATACTGCAGTTTAAAGTGTTGTAGACCTTAAATATATAGTTTCTTGAAGATGTTGAATTGGGTTGACAGGATGTCATTTATTTTTCTGTTAAATTATTGGTTTATCCATAAAACAAATGTATTATCAAAAATATGTTAAATATGTTTCATTCAATCTAAGATTACACTGCAGTAGCATGTTTCCTTTCAACCACATTATTATACACCATATTATCCTGAGGCCATCATTAAAAAAAATTTTGTTTGATCTACATATTTCAAGGTGGGTAGGTAGGTAGTATAATCTTTTTATTAAAATTATCCTATACATTGATAATCATAATAAAAATCACTGACTAAAAGTTTATTGATGTTTTTATTATACACTCTGGACAACTAGTCAAACTTCTTATTTATTGCTTTAAAAACATTCAATCTTATGCGTCTTAGAGAAATGATAAAACCTTAACTTTAAAAATTATACAGACAATCTGTATTTGCCTGCAAACAAACAAAATATTAATTCAAAGTACTAAAAAAAATGATTGGGTAGGGGAAATTTTGACGGGTCAGTTAGAGTACATCAAAAAATCTTTTTTTTTGTTGACCTAAGTAATACATATGCTAAAATACACTTATCAGATTTCATCATTTACATTTTTTCAAAAGAAAACCAATAAATAGCAACAACAGCTTTTCTAGGTCTGATTTACTAAAAATGTTATGATTCTACAATTAAAAAACAAAATGAGCATTTACAGGCCAATAAAACTGACTGGATCAAACATGTCCAGTGTCTAATGAGTTTGAATTGTGAAAGGCTTACAGTACAGTCAAACCTATATGAAGCAACCTATCAAGGGAAATACCAAAGAGGTCACATGTGGTAGGTTATATCTCTTAATGAAATTGATTCTAACAATTTTTTTTTTAAAGTACATGTATATATATACTGTAAATATAGGATCTCCCATGATTTGTAGTTGGATATGATTTTTATCCAACGAGTTGTGTGTTTTTTATCTCCGGCGAGGGGATAAAAACACACAACGAGTTGGATAAAATTCATATCCAACTACAAATCATGGGAGATTCTTTTTATCCCCTGTTCAATACTTCACAAACAATGTTTTACACTGTTTTATATAGGACTCCACTTTATTTTACTTCATCACACTAACACAAAAACCATTGTGACGTCACAACTGCACTTAACTGTGGATTATGAAAAAATTATCCAATGAGTCATATCCACAGGATAAAGGGGTAAACATGGGATAAATACATATACATGTTTTTCACATCCTTCTTCATAGTTTTGAATCTTTTTCAAACTTTTTAATAAATAAAGTATATTGAATAAAACCATTTTTTTCTCTCATACAAACTGTTTTTTTTATATTCATTATTGTATTGAATGTAAATTTTAATTCTGAAAAAAAAAAAAAAAAATAAAATATCCAAAACCTGATTGTTTTTTTTGAACCGTGTTTCACATCTTTACACAGGCTGAGAAAATGATGTCCCAAAAGGAAACAAAGAACGCTAGGATAATCACATATGAAGTTAAGTGTGTTGGTAAAAATGTAATTATGGTTTTGTTATGTGCAAAGATTTTATACATCACTTGTTAACAACATTTCATTTGAACATTTTTAATGTTTATCTATATTTACATTTATGCACATACACGCCAGTAATACTCATTTAGAACAAAATCCTGGGTACCTGTGAATTTACTCCACTATATCCATAATTCGTTATATCCATAATCTAACAAATTTGTATAAATGTATACGGCAAATTCACAATGTACACGTTTTCCTTCAAGTATGATTACAGAATATGTTCAGAGAAGTATTAAATACCTGACTCTCTTGATCTATAAAAGTTTCCTGATAAATTGTAATGTGTGTGTTAAATTAATACAAAATACTTCTGAAAAATAATGTCAAACAAATACTGTTCATTTTATTAGTTTTGTTATGAAAAGCAGGATAAAAGTCACAAATTTCATATGAGCTCAGACTGTTTACAATGTAAAATGATGGCCACATTTCATGTTAGACAGGTAGTCACTAAATGAGGGTAAAACATAATGAAAAAAATCTCATCTTATACCTTCATCACCTGCATATATATATGTATAAATGTCTCCCAGTTGATTCAATATGCAAGACCATGTTCTGCATACAAAGAATTCATAAACCAAGGCAGGGTACTGACAAATAAGCTGTGTTACAAGAGATCTACTATCTTGTTTAAAATAAACTGTTTGGAATCTTTTTTGGTAGATACAATGATATTGTTTGCAATTACCAGCTGTCCTTATGTCAAATGTTGACTGACATATTTAAATAATATAAATTGTTAGGTCACTGATTTTCATACTGAATTGGAAGCTATGGATTACTTTGTTTAAGACAAATGGCTCAAGGAGGTGTGAGCGGTTGGCAGGGCATGCTTACACCACCTTGGCTCCTGATCCCACCTCTGTCTGTGTTTGCTCTGCTCTCAGTTTGGAACTTTATTTGGATTTTTGACTTTTGAGCCTGATTTTGTGTGTTATTTTTACATTTTATTCTCTGTCCTGTTTCATAACCACAATGCACATGGCAAAATAAAAATGTCTTAAATAAAGACAACCTATGCCTACATGTGAAACTCAAAACATCACCAATGTACTAAATGGGAAGAATTGCTCTTCATTATATGTTGTATTCTGTCTGTTATCTTATCTGTAATTATACATGTTATATGTTTATGCCCACTGGGCCCTGATTTGGTAATAAATCCTATTCTATTCTATTTTATAGTACAATTTTTTTCTTCAAAATCCCATCAAAACAGTCAAGAGAGTAAAAAAAAAAATAAGCTTATCATACAACAGTCCTTAATTCAGATATTTTTTTGCAGATACAGTTTTTTTTTAAATTTTAATTTAAAACTTACAAATTTTCAAAATTTAAGGTTTATCCCATTTTCATAAGCATTTTGCATCGTTTCTTTTTTGTCATTTTTTTTTTCAAATAAAGACATCAACTAAACCATTACCTGGAATAAAGAAAAAGCTAATAAACCAATGAAATTGTATTTTGAAATTAAATCTAAGCAGACCAGAGTCATTAATTGATATCTCCCGAATTTTCTCTAGGATATTTCTACAAAAAGAAAATTCCCTTCCGATATGAAGGAAAACTTATTCAAATCAATTGTTTGAAATTAGTATGAAATTGTATGTATAAATACCTTCTCAAATTATCTCACCGACGCTCACATTTTAACAATCTTTGAAATTGTTTTTATTTCTTTCTTATAACTTCCGGAAATGGACGTAAAATTACCTTGAAGGAAGTAAAATTCTTGGTCCAATCAGATTGAGGCTTTCAAATTCCTATGTCCGATGTTGCCAGGAACAACAACAGAGCCAAGTTAGAAACTTGCATGTGGACACTTGTGTTGTTGTGTTAATTTCCCAAGATGGTAAGTTTTATATCGCATATTGTATACTAAATCATAGAAATAAAGCGGAGACCTTATATCAAAGATTTATGATCTATCTATGGATTTTATACGTAACAAAATATTTAAATTAAGTTGTTGCTTTTCTCCATGCCTGTGTTTATGTTATCACCCACAGTGTAGTTTTTACATGAAAAACTGCCGAATTGTTGGTGTCTTGTTCTCAGAATAATTCAATAGTCATAATTTGAGTACACTGGCCATTCAAGCATATGAGGTAGTTTATGTGGAGCATGCAGTAGACTGTAACATTACTATCTTGGAAGCAGTGTATTTATTTGCTTTTTAATCTTTATATCAGGCATATATCATCTAATCATATCATATATCAGGCATGTATCATCAACTTGAGTCTACATATAGATACATACCCATGGTCAGATTATAATTAATATTACATGCATCAAAAATAATCTTTGTCATATGATAATCCTTTTTTTTATTTTATTCACACAGGAGAGAGATGGTGAAGAAAGATTCTGCTTCATTGCAGAGTGGTATGATCCACATGCAGCCTTCATCAGGAGATACCAGTTTATGTATTATGTTAAAGATGGCACAGTGGAAATGGTAATTAAATGACAGACTAATGAATAATGAATTGTAAAAGAGCAAAGATTGACAAAAGTACAATTATCAAACTTTTTCAACTGTGTGTTTTTCAGTTTGACATAAAGAACCACAGAATGTTTCTGAAGAAAACTCGCATAGAAAGCATTCATCCAGAAGACTTATACATAGGAAACACTGTGAATGTTCTATCCAGACAGATGAACTTTGTTGATTATGGGGATGATTTCACCAGATCACGTCTTTCACATAAGAAAGAAAGGTTAGAATAATCATGACAAAATTTATGATATTTCTGTCAGTAATATAAAAAATTTTGGTCTGTAAACGTACTATACCTATTTCAATGGTAATTGTATTTTAGCACCTTTCGCACTGCCTCAAGTCTGCTAGTTTAAGTACACACTAATAAATGATTGAAACAAATACATGTAGAAACAGATTCAAATGTGGCAAATCATGATTATGGTAATCAATTAATGATGAAAATAGTGCTAAATGTTGAGTGCACTAATTTATGTACTTTTACAGTATTTCCAGCAATTATTCATATAAAACTGCTGAAAGAGAAAAATGTTACTGATAGAAAACTACTGAAAGTAATATATTTCATATATCTTCACCATGCAGTCTATGATAGATAAATTAATTTACGTAATATATTTATTTCAGAACTCTTGGAATGATTAAGCCAGATGCAGTTTCAAAAATGGGACAAATTTTAGATGTTATTTATCAGAAAGGTTTTTTGATCACTAAATTAAAAATGTGCCAGCTGAACAGAAATGAGGCCTTCCAGTTTTATCAGGAACACCAGGGAAAACCTTTCCTAGAGTAAGTAACATGCAGACATGATATGAAAGAAATGAAGATTTAAAAAATTTGCATTTCCCTAGTTAAGACTTAGAAGACTAATAGAGACATGTTAACTGGCTTTCATTGTTTTGATAGGTGATTTTGAAACTTTGAGTAAGACATGATGAAAAACATCCATTTAATGCTATGAATGTACTCTTTTTAAGCAGTAAACTTATATGAACTTTTACACTAGACTTAAAATTGTTCTTAGTCTATTTATATGAATATTTATTATGCTAAAGAAAATATCAATTCAACAGTGCATGCTGATTTTTTGCTTTATTATTTTTAAATGTGCCAGTTTTTTGTAGGGCTGTCATAGTTACCCGAAATAATTGAGAACCGCGGTCCAAATTGTTAGGTTCGGTTCCATTTTTCCGGATTTCGGTTCGGGTCTGGTTTATATATTAGATTCTTTTCTATACAAAAAATGTCATCGAAATCAAAGGAATGATGACGATAACAGTTATAAATAAACATCACAACTGAAATCTACTTCATTCCATGACAAAACACTTGTCACGGAAGTATTAGATAATTATCAAAACGAGCAGGAATGGTCAGGTTGTGGCTAATAGTAGGCCAAGTAGTTCTACACACCGATGTCTACAGGTCCAGCACAATACCCTGATAAAGGTATATAGCTTGATAAAGCTATATAGCTTTATCAAGGTATTACAAATACCTTGATCAAGGTATTTTATGTAATGAAAATACAAAAAAAAATCTTAAAAAATTAATTTTAAAAGTCGAATTATGAGTTGTGGTCAGTGTGTTCACTCGTGCATGAAAAGTACTCAGGTATTAAAAAGACAGCATAAAAGAACGTCTCCTCACATGACATGATTTTATACTGATTTCTTTGTGTTTGAGTACTTTACATGCATGAGTGAATGTACTGACAACAACTCAAAACTCGACTTTCAGTATTTTTTTTCAGAATTTTTTTTGTATTTTCATTACATAAAGTACCTTGATCAAGGTATTTGTACTACCTTGATAAAGCTATATAGCTTTATCAAGCTATATAGCTTTATCAGGGTATTGTGCTGGACCTGGTCTAGACGTTCGCATGGTTAAGACTTGTTTTCAATGTAAATTTAATGTAACAAATAAAGATTTTTCAAGTTAAATTCATGAAATTAAGGTTTATTAAGGTAGATGTAAATAACCGAACCGAAAAACCCGAAACCGAACCGAAAATTTACAGAACCGACCCAACCCGAAAAATTTTGGAACCGTGACAGCCCTAGTTTTTTGACATGCCAATTTAACATGTTTATATATATATTACATAAGCACAATTATTGTAGTAATTTCTAAGACAAATTTGATTTCCAAAACCAAATCAAATATTATATTCAATTTTAAATCTGTTAATAATGCATTATTCAAGCACATATCATCTTCAGAGAAAAATCTTTTTTTTTCTCTAGTGCCCTCCTTAATTTTGTGACAAGTGGACCAGTCATTGCCTTTGAGCTGATGGGGGAGGGCTGTATATCAGCATGGAGGGATGCCTTGGGCCCCACAGACTCTGCCTTAGCTCGCTCAGAAGCTCCACAGTCAATTAGGGCCAGGTTTGGCAAAGGTAAGATCGTCACATTCAACTACAGTCAATTGAGGTTAAATACATAAAGAAAAAGTGCTTAGGACTTCCAATTCACTTTGACATATTCATGGTATTTGATATATCAGTGTTCAAGATACCAAAGTTCAACTGTAATATATAGAAAAAAAAAAGAAAAATAGAATATTTCCAAGATTCTTATAACATTGTCACAGTTAGAATGTATAAAGGGAGATCAATCTTCAATAAATTCCATCAAAGAGTTGTCTCATTTTCTTAAAGTTTTGTATAAATTGTTTGTTTATATAAAATTGATACAACCGTGTTACAGATAAGACACAGAATGCCTGTCATGGCTCTGATAGTCATGCTTCTGCAGCCAGAGAGCTGGAATTCTTTTTCCCCAGCAATGGCCCTTCTCGACAGAACACTGCCAAATTCACAGACTGTACATGTAGTGTCATCAAGCCTCATGCTGTGAAATCAGGTTAGTAAGGCTATATTTAGGAATTTGACATAGATTTATTGTATCTTTGTCAGTTAATTGAGAAATTAATATGTGGCCAGTAAGGCAGATTTGATTGCCTGTGGCCAGATAACTCAGATGGTAGAACACATGACTAGTGATTCATGGGGACTGGGTTCAAATCCTGATCTGCTCACAGATATACATGCAATTATTCATAATATCCACATGTATTAGTTGAAGATAATTGTGAGAAGCCAAGATTTTCTAGTTAAAAAAGTTTTGTATGGGACACATGTTTGTCTAGCCTAGACTTAAACATATTAGAAAACACACAAATTTAAACACTCCTGAATTTAAACCTTGATCAATTTGAAATTCAGTTTTATTTATTTACATGTAAAGTTAAAACTAACAAGAACCTAAATTGACTCCCATCTTACAATATACAGAGCAGCATTGGAATTCAGAAATCATTGTGTTTTGTAGGTTTGGCAGGAAAGATAATAAGCAGCATCATGGAGGCAGGATTTGAAATCTCCATGCTTGAAATGTTTCACATGGAGAAGGCTAATGCTGAGGAATTTTATGAGGTTTACAAGGGAGTAGTTCAGGAATATGGAGCAATGGTGGCTGAATTGACATCCGGACCATGTATGGCCATGGAAATCCGGGCCCAGAATGCACCACAGGCTTTCAGGGAGATGGTGGGACCTTCTGACCCTGTAAGATATTTAGCCACTTTCAGACATTTGAATTCAGTGTCACTCAGATCATTTTTAAAATGATTAATTTCTAGTCTTGACAAATCATATGGAGAAATTTCAGTTGAAAATGACAAAATGAATATGGGTCAACTGATGAAATTAAACTTAATGATAAGATATGTAAATAAATAAGTGCTAGGTAGGAACATGTTATTGAGAAATTAAATAACTGGTTTATACCACTTCCTTCCCCAGGAGATTGCTCGTCATCTTCGACCCCGTACTCTGAGAGCTTTATTTGGAGTCGACAAAGTCCGCAACGCAGTCCATTGCACAGATTTGCCGGAGGATGGATTATTAGAGGTCAGTTTGTCATATAAATATATCTAGATGTAAAGAATGAGCCAACTACTGTAAACCTTGTCCTTTTACTTGATTTTAGCATAATTATGCAAGACCTACTGCATGTAAAAATTTCAATCTGGCATATATTTAATGTATTACAACAATAACCAAAGAAGACAGGCAAACAAGGCGTGCAAAATGCCAATAGCTTCAAATATGTTAAAATCAAATTCAATTTTAGAACTTAGTATTTATAACTTACAAAGTTCTAATTATCGAAAGGTATGAAATTATGACAAACAGAACTTTTCTTTGAAAAATTCTCTCAGCAAAAATTAGTCTGTGGTAAAAAAAAAAATTTAAGGATTTCTTGGGATTTGAACCCAAGTGATAAAAATCCTAAGTGTGTTTTCTTCTTAGAGACTGTCATGCTAACCACTACACCACACAACTCATAAAAGTTGTTCCCATTTAAATCTTGTATGTTATAACTGGACTTCAAATATTTCTTGGAAAGATACAGATTTTGTGTCATATTGTGTCAAATGTATTTTTAAGGTAGAGTGAGTCCTTGCTCAAATTGACAATATTTTTGTATTTTTTATGCAAAAATGTTTACCTTTAAACATACTTTGAAGATATACTTTATACTTTCAAAAGTTAAGAGCAAAGTCTCACTTATATAGACAAATTATGTTATAGTATGAAGAAATCATCATTTTTGCCCTCTTTGCTGTGTGCATGCTATTTCAGGAACAAATAATTTTAACACTTATGAGATCATTGCAAATTGTGGAGATTTTACATAAAGTTTACATTAATGCTAACTGAAATATCAAAGGAAATTGTATTATAATTGAGATTCCATAGACATTTTTCAAGGCTTGTTCTCCCATCTTCTTTGTGAATTTTTATCTTAATTATACATACCCAATTACTGTCTCATAAAAATAAGATGTTGCAAAATGAAATTTAGTGATGTTGTTTTATAAAGCATGTTCCAAAAGTGCTCACTAGTACTGGAATTTAAATTCCCTAATTCAATAATCTTTTATACTTATATTTATGAATGTCTTTGTCCTTTGATATTAAAACATATTTTTATCATTTACAGGTTGAATATTTCTTCAAGATTCTTGGACGATGAAAAGTTCTAAGCTTCTTTCAATGTTTAGTGTATTAATTCATAACAAGACAGTGGAAGGACCATATTTTTGTGCTATTGACAGAGATGAGAAGTTTATCAACACTGTGATAATTCTATAGCAATGTGACTGTTCTCATTTCATTTTTAAAGAATACTTATGTACTTTAATATAATTCTTACTCAAGTTTCTTTTTCTTCTGTTTTATCCTTAAACTGATAAACATGTAGGTTCAGATAATGCACAGAAGGCCCAATCAATGAATTGTCACTCTATATCAAATTATAAACCTGAATTTTGTAGATATCAAGGGTTAAGAAGTCTAAGGTGCTATCTAGTAAAATTGAATGGACTTTATTTTTCCAAATTTTACAGGAGTTTCAGTTTTCTTGCCTTTTGTGATCCTTCAGCAGCCATACACCTACATACATACACATTAAATGCATGCTGGACCACGTTTAAGAAAATAATTTTCCTAATCGGTAATTTCCTGGATCCATTCAGAATACAAAGTTTTTCAAAAGTTATCAATTCCATTAGTTTAATTTTCCTATCAAGATAAACTTGCAGAGCAATTAGAGTAATAGGAACCCTTTCTTATGAGCTAATTTCTTCATTTAAAGCTGAACACGATAACAGTTCAATGTCATACACTTTTTAGGTTTTTCACCTGTGTAAACATACTCTAGAAATATGACCTCAGTTGCATGGGTCATTGCTGTACGAACACTTAAAATGCAATAAAATGTAAACGAAGGCAATGTAATCTACATGTCGTCCATTCCATGTAGGTTTCCAGAAAGCAATCAGTTGTAATGAATGCAAAGGGTACGTATACCCCAGTACCAATGTCAGAGATAGGAAAATAATATGGAGTATGGTTATTTTATGCATTGTGTTCAACTTTAATACTATACGAGGGGTTATCAAAAAGTTCGTGGACTGACGCGATAAAATTAATAATATGTAGTCTTTGCTTACAAAATTTATGCGGAACATAAAACAACAAAAGTTTAAGAAATGTTGAAAATTTTAGCTTGATACGTTGATAATTTGCCAAATTATTCTAAAATTAAAAAGACTTTATGTGATCACCCGGCGCTGTCGCCGTTTAGTGTCATGACGTCCGCTTAACGTCATTGTTTCTTAATGTCCGCTCTCTCTACATCATACACTTATCTTGATGAGATTACCTGGAGTTAAGTAAGGACTTAAACCCGTCTTATTTATATGAATTTACAATGTCATGAGCAGTTGTTTTCAATGCATATAATATTGTAAATGGATCTTTATGTGGGGAAAGATCCTCACTTGATTATGCCAGAATACTTAGCTTGTTGGAGTTCAATTTCTACCACACATGATCAACGTCACTTTTCGATGTGACTGACTTTTGACACCCTGACTACAAATCGACACTAACTGTGCATATTTCATCTCTCTGAATCTTTTTGGGCATTAAAAAACAAGTACTCTGGATGCATTTTATTTTTCTGTAGCCAGTTTAAACATTCCTTAGGTCAATACCAGTTTTTCCAGGAGCGAAACTCTATAGAGTGTTTGAAAAAGAAACCTCTCACCCTTTTTGACATTATTTTCAAGCCCATAATTGTTTGAACACTCCATATAAAATTTACGATAAAATTTCATAGAAATTACAGAATGGGGTAAAAATTGCAAATTTTACTGAACAAATGTGTCGTACCACATGCCTGAATTAACGAGATTTTTTGATGACAAATACTCATATCTAAAGAGTTTTTGTCAGTTACACTCAGGTAGAAAAAACGTCATATTAGAGGTTGCACCGCCTGGACATACCTTTGCTTACAAAAACACTAACAATTTATTAAAAAATAAAAATTATTTATGGTTTATTCTATAGATAGAAAAGATGATGCTTACTAAATGTGTAAAAATTCATTGGTGTACCTAAAGCGGTTTTAATTTTATGACGCTAGTCCACGAACTTTTTGATAACCCCTCGTATGTTACTTATGTGGAGATTGCAACATTGTTGATGCAGAATGCATCCTCCATGCACTTTTGGTCCAGGTAGGGCTCTTAAATTTGTCTACCTATTCCAAAATTCTTTAACTGGCCATCTATTTGATGAATAAAGGGAAAGGTATGACGTAATCTGAAGCATGGGAAGTAGGATACATTTCTTGATGCAACATCCCTGCAAGTTCAGCTAAAATTTAACTTTTGCATTTACCTGCTCCGAAAATGTTAACTTGGCCTTTTTGACATCAAGAAAGTGAAGGTCAAAAGCATCTCATGAAACATGAATAGTATTGAGCATTCCTAAATGTATCATTCCTGCAAGTGCCAATCCCAGGAACCTTGGATGCCAACACCATGAGCATAGCAAAACTTTATGTTGCCAAATCACAAGCACTTCCTTTCAGCACCAATCTGTTGAAGAATTGTGTAATTATCATGCCTGTGCATAGCCTTAACATTGTGATGCAGGTCAAATCTTCTCAAGGCTTCTCCATTAGCTTCACATCATCAGATACCCACAGGTGATCTCGTCTCTTATTTGGTGACGAGATCACCCGTGGGTATCTGACGATGTTAGCCTCAATGAACACATTGATTTTATAGATCTGTAAATAAGCTAACAATTTTTTTTTTTGTTTTTGGTCTAGATTAGATGAATAGTTATAGCAGGTTACTGCAAGTATATTTTCACAGCTCATTATATCCTGTAATTAATTCAGAGATTTAAAACTACAAGTCAACATTGAAAGATTTTATTTGAACAACCACATTCAAAACTTGTTTCGAATTGTCTGAGCTGCAGGTTTACAGGTTAATTTCCCCCCAAATATACAGCACAGCACAAAAAAAAGACAAGAAAAAATAACTAATACAAAATATGCCGTCCCATTCTGAAACACTCTCTCCTAAAAGTTATCTTCTCTCATACAAATTCGTGGGTTTTATACATGACATGCCAATTCATTGTACAGGATTATTTGCTGTGAAATGGACAAAGAATCATAACATCTGGATACCAAGACTCAAAATTCTTCAGACTAAATAATTTTCTGCACTCAGAATCTGACTTTCTCCTGTTCTCTGTTTTGACTCTGACATTCAATGTATACAAGTTTGATGAGTACAAAAAAAGTGTCTACAGCCAAATCAAGATTACAAAAAAGGTTCTCTGGATAAACAGTTCAAAACTCTAGCATTAAAGAGATAAACAATGAAAAATATTGCTTTTACTTTCACTTTGTTGCAAAAAAAAGAATTCAGATTTCATCATAAAGTCCTGAGATACCAAAAGCACATTTACCAGTAATTTACATGTAACTATGAAGGTCAACGGTACCCAAGAAAACTGGCGAACTGGTATATATTAAAAATCTTTACTGAAAACCTAACCATTTACAAGGCCCTCCTAAACGATCTTTAAAAATTCACCCTCTGCCAAAATTCCCCCACACTCATCAAATAACATGCACATGTATACTAAATACAGCTACCCTTATTTTTCCCTTTGTAAAATTAAGTCATTCACACATCACATTTTTAAAATAAAAAAATACTGAATAAATTAATTTGTAAATATTTATATAAAAAAGATTGCCATTGATGTGACTGTAAAACATCTGTGATATAATATTATAAAAAAAAAAAAGAATTGCACATTATTTTTACTTCAAATTTGACTCATCACAGAAAACTTGCAACAAGGATGCAACATGCACCAAGATCATCCTTTGCTTCCTCCATTTTTCAAAAGGAAGCACCAGGTCATAAAGGCAGCACCAAAAAAAGTCTCCCCTAACAATAAAGATACATGTACATGATAAAACATATCTATATAACTCGATTATTTTTTACGCGGGTGAAAATGATTATGAGGAAACCTTTATGGCAGAGGATGAAAGCCCTGGTTTATTATTTAAAAAAAAAAAAAAAGCCTCGCAATACTGCTGAATTTTCCTTTTCAATACTGCATGAATATCATATGGATACACTGTGAAAATAGACACATACAAAACAAAAAAAAGTTAAGTGACGAGAATATTATCAATGGTAAGTCGAAAAGATAAAATGGTCAAGATAATCTGAATGAAAAAAATGTGAGACCCCATAAATATACACACAGGAACTTGAACACATTTTGGAATGTCTTTTACAGAATAGTTTATATCATTAAATACCGTATATATACCTCTGGATCCCTACAAGCTGTATAAAATTTCCTATAGGAAATCATTTTTTGGCACATTGAAGAGATATATGGAAATACATGCATTAAGCATGCTCCAAAAATAACAAGCACAACTGGATTGATCATGTATCTTTACACAATTCAATATTTGCTTAGGAAAAATATCCATCTCCCATACAGAAAAAACACAGAAATAATATTTCAATGCAATTCAATGTGCACCGATTTTGGAAACAACGACCTTTTTGTACAGCTTCATACTTCAAACTGTCGAAGAAGATCTACAGTCACCAATTCTGACAGCTTTTTATAAAGTTTCTGTACAAAAAAGCACCGAAGTAAACATTAACATGATGGAGATCCAAAACTCTTTTGTTCAGAGCAGTTATCTGTAAGAAAACAGTAACTTTGCAGTTTTGATTATAAAGCACAAGAACTATTCTTTAAAATCATACACTATAATCTAATATCTCTAACATACAGACTTTGAAAACGAGGGATCCAGAGCCTTTAAGATTAAAATAATGTTCCATTTAAACAAAGTTAGGAAAATCACAATGTAAGAATAACAAATATTTGTCAATAATTAACATTCAGAAAAATAAAAATACACAACGAAGGATGAAAAAATTTCTATTATGTATTTGTTCTGGGACTATTAATCGCAATAGGTCAAGATATTGTATAAAAGCTCCATTGTCTGGATATTAAGGTTGACAGGCCTAGGCTTGTGGAAAAAAAAACACAAACTCTTGCCAAAAATCTCCACAACAAATACTTGAGAAACAAAAAACTGGCACATAACATGTCCTCTCCCCATAAGATGACCTTTTGAAAGACGTGGTTCAATCATTAAAATACGGATACAATAGCTATTTGTGACACTAGTCGTTCAAACAAACATTTTTATGCTAGGTTTGAGTGCCCTTTGTGGTTTACTCTTGTGTAGAATCCTGAAATTAAGTGTCTATAACATGTCCAAAACTTAACTCTACATTTCTTCCTTTAGATTATGGAACAAAGGATACTTGAACCTGCATAGCAAATCTCAAACTTTAAACATGTTCATGTTGAAAGTTTTTTCTTTTAAAATCCTTAAATATCAGTTAACAGGGAAAGAAGAAATCCCTCTTTCAGTGAAAAAAAAAGTTCCAAATACTATTTCTACATGTAATTGAAATATTTAATTAATACGCAGTCAAATTGTTGTCAAAAAGACCATATACTAAGTACAATGTACATAATGCACCATTTAGCAGCTAAATGTGGAAATGCATGCACATCAAAAATTCTTTTACAATACGTATAGAAAATTGGATGCTAGGGCAATTGTACCACCACTTCTTACAGAAATACACAATACGTGTACATTTAAGAAAACAAAATAACAAAAAATATATAACCATCACATGGTGGTACTCTTATCTTTTTCAACTTTCACATGAATTTCCACATGCAGCAAATAAAAAGGGGGCAAGATATATGACTTACTTGACTAGCATCACAAATGTGTTTATACATGTATATTAAAACCCCATTCCTTGTCACAGCATCAGATTTTAATTAAAAAAAGAAGTAAGATCAAGTTCCTTCCTATAATAAAAAAAATCACAGATGCTGTATTAGTTATGTTCTCCATAATAAGAAAGAGTTATATATATATATATGTAACTCTGGATGAATAAGTTCACCAGCTTTCATTTTTCATAAATATTCAAGTAAAAAAAAAAATTCTTGAAGTGAACCTGTCTTCCTTTGATTCCAATTTCCAAAAATAACGTTCTTCCAAAAATTCTACATTTGGAAACAGGACGGCATCATAGCAAAAAATATTGGAACTACAAGACTACAATATTTAGAAAAATTTTACAATAGCTTCATGGTAATATACAATAGAACCAGCAAACATCTGTCTTCAGTTTGCAGTGCAGTAGCATTTTTACATTAAAGTTTCATTTATATTACCGAGATACTGGAAATGTATGTGAAATACCATCAATAATTGACACTATTAAATCCATAAATATTAAGCAATCACAATGTCAGCACAAAAATTTTCTTTAGGTTTTTTCCCTTAAAACCTAATGATCTGGTAAAAAAGTGATGACAAATGCCTCCATCAACACTAATTACAGATCATAATGAAAAAAAATCAAAATATTCATCAATAATTTCATGCAAACACCTTTCCCCTCTCACAGTCTAATAAATGTAATGGTCAGGGGGGGGGAAATTTTAAAATATATCATCTCAGAAGTCTGCTTGACAATTGTTCACTGATTGTAAAACATAAGATAAATTTGTGAGAAATCAGTATGGCCATTTCACTTTTCTGCCATTTTTAAAACAATGACACAACAATGAACGATATGTATTCTTGGTAACAAATGCTGACATTGCTAAAATGTGAATTAAAATAGTATATTTATGACACAGTTCAACGAGGGCTCTCCAAACACAGTTATCTTCAGAAACCTATACCATCCTCTTGTACAATCCAAGCTCTCGTTTCACTGCAGTTATCTGAACTCATCTCCAAAGGCTACCAGACTGCCTTCTAAAGCCTTGAATTTAAATTTTAAGGGGGCTGGTTCTACCATATTGTCACCCTGCAAAATTTACAACAGTCAAATTAAACAAAATGTGGTTGTCGCTTGCTGGGCTCTTCAGTTGCCCCACCAGTCTGGGGCAGCACTGTTGCTGGGGGCAGAGTAGGCACCACCGTAGGAGCCTCCATAGTTGCTGTATTGGTTGGCCATAGGATTATAATTGTTGCTGTATCCTCCACCACCCTGCTGTTGTTGCTGCTGAGATTTGGGTTTATTCTGCTGTCGGTAATCTCTTGATCCAAAGCCAGAGTTGCCAAATCTACAAGCATCAATAAGATTTCTGCCTAAAACTTGATGCTTGGCATTATAAACATGAAGGTACATGTATTTTTGTAGTTTATGACCCAGAATGAACATGATTTCTATATAAGGCACCCATATCTCTATGTGGGGCCCTAATTACCCCACTGCTTAAAACTGAACATGACTGGTAAATAGGCATATGCCATATTATTTTTCCTATCTCCTACATCATTACTGGGGTGTATAAACCCTTCACATTCATTGCGCCTGATTGCTTTTACCTTGTTGCTGCTGCGTGTAGTACACGTATATCTTATATTTTCCTTTTTGTTTACATTTTATTTCATGATGTGCATACGGTTTATTTCACATTGCAACATTGAACTGTGCAGTTGATACCGAATTTTTGGGTAACTTTTTTTTCCTGACATGGCAGCAGCATACAGAAGTCATTTTTGTTGTGCCCAAGTATACCACAATGACAATGAAGGAGACATCCTTTTAGGTGGAGATCGTGAAGCAAAATACATTGAACTCTGAACAAAGCTGAGGCTTACATGTATATAGGGGCTGGAGAACATCAGTCTTGAGAAGACTAATATGGGGGACATTTTACGAATCATGCTCAGCTTTAACAGGTGGTTAAATGGACTGACCTTCTTCCACCTCCCCTTCTGGAACTTCCAGTGGGCCGAGCTTCGTAAGCCATGGATTCAAGCCAAGATGGAACTTCTTGATGGGCCTCCACAAGCAAATCCATGAGGTCCCGCACAATGTTCTTGTTCTTCTCATTGAAAAACGAGGTTGCCAAACCTGAAAAAACAATTTCAATAACCAATTCTAATACACCTAGCTAAGTTTTCATACATATACATGTATGACTCAACCTCTTTTTAACAGTTCAATACATATAGCCATATAATGTAAAGGTATTATAAATTTATTTAACATGTACTGTATGACATTTGGCAGGAAATGATTTTTCAAATCGTATACATAGATGCATGACATTACATGTATGTGAGTGCTTGATTTAGTGGAAAGGGGCTATATAGAATACACAGCCAAATGTAATAAATTTATAATTACAAAATGGGGCCTTTGTGACCTTCTTTTGAATTGCAGCACATCTTCCCCCTAAGATGCATCAACTGACAAGATTTTATGGCCCTGAGCCTTAAAGTGTGCAAAGAATGACTCATACATTTTAAAAATTGCTAACAGACAGACTGAAAGCCTACTTTTAACCAACTATTATTTGCGTCATCTTTTATTTGCAATTCGTCAGTTTGAAATTAATCCGCAAGGATTAATTTCCGCGACTGAGGAATCATTCTCTACAAATACAAAGCAAAATAAATCGTTCGCAGCGATTAATATTCCCGAGTTAAAGTAGGTCGAGAAACTCTCGGATATTTCTCACACACGAATAAAAAGTTTACAGTATACCATAACACTGTCCATCAAAAGAAAAGTCTATGATAAATTTTTAAGTGCCTGGTGCTCATTTTCACTTAAGTATGTCAAAAGTTTAATGTCATAATGTCTGTAAGCCCTTTCCTTCTAAAACTTCTATGATTATGTCCCATGCCATTATCAAAATAAGGCAAAATTGATTGTTCTTAAAGCAAGTCATTTTAAACAAATGCAATCAATCTAATTTTTTTTTCACTCCTCAGGAATCATTACCTTTTAAAGGAAACTTTTTAAAAAGGAAATTGATCATTTTTAACTTGACTCACCCAGATTTCCTACTCTACCAGTTCTTCCAATCCTATGTACATATTCCTCAATGTCACTTGGCAGATCAAAGTTCACAACATGTCTAACGTTTTGGATATCCAAGCCTCTTGCAGCCACCTTTTATTGAAAAAAAATAATTTTTTTTTGTAAGTCCATGGACTATTTAATATTTATACACGAATATTGTTCTATCAATAAATTTTAGTGCTTTGGTTCTCATAACAAAGACAACATACAAGAATGACAAGACATTCAAGACTAAGTCTTTGTACCGGTATATATGCATTATCCTTCCATAGTGTCTTACTTCCAAAACCCTTCTTACCAAATATTTCAACACTTACTGATGTGATTCAAAATCATGGGTTGATTCCCTTTTGTAGACAGCTGCCTGTCAACGTGTTCCCTTCTCTGAATCTGAAACTCTCTTTCCCACAAATGCTTTAATTATCCCACCAAATATTTATAAACTTACAGCTGTAGCTACAATGATGGGCCTGTCCCCACTCCTAAACAGCCGCAGAGCCTCCTCCCTCTCCTTCTGAGAGCGGTCACCATGAATACTGGTAGCGGGATATCCCTCCCTGATCAGGAAATCCTCCAGTGAATCGGCACCCTTCTTAGTCTCCACAAAGACTAGAGTCAGTGAGTCAGGACCTGCTGCTGCATTCAATAGATCCAACAGGAAGGAACGTTTCTCCATTTCTTCCACCCAAACCACTTTCTGGGTAATGTTCTCACTGGTGCTGCCCACTCTTCCAACTGCCAAAAATATATAGTTGTCCAGGAAATCTCGGGCCAGCATCTATAACATAAATAAACAAATCATCAAGTGTCAAACTTAAGGATTTTTCAAAGGATTTCTCAAATGCAGCATATTAACAAGCAAATTTTACTTAAACCTTTTTTTTCAAATGATCAAAAACTAATACTGGGGTACATGTTGATAAAAAAAGCTCACCTGAATTTCTTTGGGGAATGTGGCACTGAACATGAGAGTTTGCCTTACACCACTCGGAGGCATGTTATCCTTCTCCACAATGCGACGGATCTGGGGCTCAAATCCCATGTCTAACATTCTGTCTGCCTCATCCAAAACCAGGAACCTAGTAGTCCGTAAAATCATGTATCAGCAAGGTATAGTATCAGAAAGGTACATGTATATATAGCATTTGCCACTCACACAGGAACTATATTATCTTAATTTTACTTCAATTATTTTCCATTCGTGTAAGAGTCAAATTACAAGAGACACCTACTTGCAGTGTTCCAAACCGAGCTTGCCCCTCTCCAGCATGTCTACCAGTCTTCCAGGGGTAGCCACCAGTAAATGACATCCTCTGTCAAGGTCCCTCATCTGGGCCCCAATATCAGCTCCTCCATATACCACACAGGGCCTCACACGGGAACGATAAGCAAACTGAGAGTAAAATATATAGATTTACTTTTGAAAGTGACAGACTTAAATAAAGGAGGTAAAAAAAACTTTAAAAAATGGCTGAGTTGACTTAAGACAATGCAATTATAGACACAAACCTTCCTTGCTTCATCAAAGATTTGGTAAGCCAGCTCTCGAGTGGGGGCCAGGACCAGAGCCAGTGGATATTGTTTTCTACGCCCATACTGTCTGGACGAGGACACATTCTACAAAAATTACGCACAAATAAGGTCTTGCATTTGACATCACAGAATTCAAGAATATGTTGTTATTTTTGTCATATCAAAGTCACAAATGTTGAGAAATACTGTCGAGGTACCTTTTACCACGTGGTATAAATTTACACTAAAATCTCCACAGAAATTTGTCAATGTGTACTTAAAATTACAAATAAGACATACAAGGGCAATCTAAAAAATCTGCTTTATTTTCTACCCTGGGATTGAACATAAATTGTAATTCCACGGAAATAAGACCCTGTGGAGAAGTGTACGTTTACAGCACTAGACCATTTTTAAATTTAAAGTTCAAATTAGCACAATTACAGTATGTTAATTATTTGCTGTCTACTTCTGCATGACATTTAAGCCTGCAAAACTTTGTAATTCACCTACATGTATTTTCCCCATTGGCTGTAGTGCAACTTGGGAGCACTGAGCACATTTTGAAGTGAGCATTCACAAGCAAATACTTCTATGAAAATAAAATCTTTTCATAAATCTTCAGCATAGTATATGCATGTATGTACATCCATCTACATTAAGTTGCACATGCTTACATATTTTTCAGTAACCGATAGTGACATGGCCATTTATATGATTACTTACTGCTGATTCTTCGGGTCCATTTTCATAGACTCTGTTTAACACTGGGACCAAAAAAGCAGCAGTCTTTCCAGAGCCTAAAACAAACAATTTTCAAATGGATCACTATTGTAAGTAGTTCCTAAGGATGCTTGTATTTTAAACAAACCAATGCTATTCAATATGTGAAAATGTCCAATCTCTCTAACCTACAGGGCAAAACAACTGATCTGCCTACTTTTTAAAGGTGTATTACTTCAAACTTCTTCAAATTCTGCATAAAGCATATTTCTTTTCCTACACAAATTTGAATTCCATAATTTTTTTTTGGTCACATTTGTGATTAATTTTCAAATAATGAAATACAACAATGAAAATGTAAACAAACTAGAGGGGGAAAACACAGAATGAAAACAGCAAAGATTGAGCTATGTATGTTAATTCTTACCTGTCTGAGCGCAGGCCATTAGGTCTCTCTTACTCAGAACAATAGGAATGGCATATTTTTGTACTGGAGTAGGCTTTGAGTAGCGACTCAGCACAATGTTGTTTCTGATAATCTCTCCCAAGTTACACTCCTCAAACTGAAATACCCAAAAGTCACCTTCCTTTAAAACTCCAAGAAGTTACATTTAAATGCATTCAAAATTTAGAAATGTCATGTTTTGTAAGAAAACGATAAAATTTGACTGCTTATGTTTTATACATGTATATACTATGTCAATGGATTTATACAAATTTTATGACCGCCTAATATATATATATACAATGATAATTTCTTTCTACACTGTACATGCACTTACAGTCTCCACATTTTTGGGGGCATTTTCTCCAGTTGCCTCCACAGGAATATCTTCATATTTGTCAAAGTTTATACCAGTGTTTCCACTTCCAAACAGCTCCCTTCAAAGATCACAGAATACTGAATCATTAGCAAAATTCTGGCATTTTTTTTTATCAAAATAGTGCATTTGTTACAAGAATATCATTTTAATGTGAAACCTGTGAATCCAATTACCTGTTCATCAGTAAAATAAAATATATGCATTATCACAGGAAAAAGAATGTGCACAAAATGATGAAATATAATAACTGCTGTTACTAACAAATTTTATCTGTATGGTTTCAATTTGAGATCATTGTTTTGTTTGCTTAGCTATAAAAATCAGTCACATCATGAATAAAATGCTTGAATTCTTCCTTACTCTTCCATTCGGGGATTAGGGGGTAGGGGAATAGTCCAGTTTTCCTTTGTAGTCTCTTGGGGGTACTTGCCCCCTGTATTGTAATCAGTTCGATTGTCCCATCTGTTATTTGTGCTGAAGTCACCATCACTCTGATATCTCTGGTTGTTGAAGTTTCGATCATCTTCAAGGTTATCCCAACGTCCCCCAGAACTTGGAGGGGCACTGCTCTGTCTTGAGAAGCGATCCCCATCTCCATAGTTGTTGTATCTGTCCCCTCCTCCATATCTAAAATGTACAAAAATAATTTTTTATATTAGCTGTCAATTTTTAAAATGATTAATCCCAAACAAATCATGCTTCTGAAGAAGATTCTATCAAAACATGTTATGCTGATTACACTACTGCAATCCATATTCTAATATATCTTTGCATAATTTTACAGTAGTTCTCCATACTACCATAAATATATAACTAATGCCATTCATCTGGTAGATGATGTAATTCATAATAACCTATCAGGAGGATTTGATTAGGAACCAATGTTTCCAAGTAAACAAAGCTCCATTTTAATTGAAGACTTCTAATCATTGCATAATGATGTTAAATTTTTTTCTGCCTAAAATTTCTAACTAACCTTCCTGGTGCATTATTCTGATAGCCACCACGACGGTTCTGGTAATTGTTGTAACCACCTCGGTTACCTCCACCCTGATTGTATCCCCCTCGGTTGTAAGTATTGTATCCACCTCTATCACCCATGTCTGTAATAAAACAATGGACATCAACAATCACCTAATGAAAACTGAAATTCCTGCTCTTCAATATCAAATGAATCCATCATAACACTAAAATTGCAGGTAACACTACAAGACAACAAGATACTTACTGGGCTGACTGAAGCTTTGGGGAGGACCCCCATTCATGTATCCTCCACGGCCCTGATTATATCCTCCTCTGCTATAGCCTCCATCTGAAAAGCAAAATTAATGTGATGTACTCACTGCAAAACAAATTTGTAAAGAAATAATATGCAATAACCCCATTCAAGTTGTGCTTATAAAATAATGGCACCCTACTTTTGCCCCTTTTGCAACCATTTGGTTCTTTGAATCATCCGGAACAGAATAAAATGGTTTTTTTTTCAAAAAGCCAATAAACCTGATAAAGGGACTTGGAAAATATTACCAAGATCCAGATTTTTAAAGCAAATTAAAGAACCAAACAGACCTGAGACTTAAAACCTTTGCCAGAGGTTTCTTGGAAAGAGAAGTTAAAGGGATTTACACTTTCTACATATATCTGTGACTGTAAAAACCATCTCTGATTAGAGAAAACCAAAGAGGATAAATGTTAACCCATGTGTATATTATGATTAACGCGAAAGGAAGTTCCTTACCTCTGCCCCCTCTATTATCTGGCAGTGGGGGTGGAGGGTAATTTGGCACCATTCCTAATGGGGGAGGAGCAGGTGCCCCTGGGGCATTCCTCATGTGAGGAGGCACATATCGCTGACCCTGTTGCCCTTGGTTACCCTGACCTGGAAAAAAATGGAAATAAATCTTCTATTTAAATTTTTCACAATATTCACTTCTTTATATACACATCAAATTAGTTAAATAATATAACATGACAACAAACCATGCAATATAAACAATACTGCAGTGATAGCAGAATTGTACTAATTCAAAGCATAACCAATGAAAAATCATAAAAGATGCATAGAGAGATTTTGGGGGTGATGGGCTATCCTATGCAATTCAATCCTTTATTCACAATCTACTACCTTTTCTTTTTGGTAAAATTGAACCCACTAAATTGTTTACTTCCTAGTTAAGATATAGCTGCAGTTGTGATATGGACAGGTTTTCCGTATACAGGAACATTGTACACTGAACAAGTTTTGACTTGCACTAGATCATAGATGCTTGTAATCAATCAGAAACTCTCTTAAAAATGTTACATTTACATATGTATATTCTACTATGTAAACTATAGGATGCTGTATATTTATTCTACAAATCCTGATCTATGTTTAACAAAATAATTACATGTATGAAATGATAAATAAACATACTTTGAATTACCGATGTTCAAATGCAAGGGATAATGGAATAATTATTTAGTTTTGAGACCCATCACTTTCAAGGAGTCAATTTTAAGGTTAGAAAATAATAATAACATAGATCATGCTAAAGCTAAGAAAAACTACAGTATGAATCAGGATAAAACGTTCCACCTCGTCAATATCAGTCTAACATGGATTTTTTTATGAGTATTTATTCCATACAGGTAAACACACTCATTGTTTATTAAAGCAACTATCACCATCCTAAATCAACTTTTGCAGCCATATTTTATTTATTTTTAATACCTTTAAGAAATTTTTTTGCCCTTTTTCCATTAGCTTAAGCCAAGCAGTTGGAGCAAATTTTATACTAGTGCCTATTTAATACTGCAACTGCCACACTTAGTGCATAAACAGCACCAAGTTATCAAAGTTCACCTAGGCAATTTAAACTTTGCCAGTCACACATCAATAGTTAATACCCATTCAACCATCTAAAACAGGACAAATCAGACACACTTCAATATTACATCTGTCTGCATAGTTTGGCAAAATTTCAGACTTGGTTACTTTATCATCTATCCTTAATATTATCAGTTCAAAAATCCTTACATTATATTAATGCTTAAAATTTAGCTTTTCAGATTTCAGAAAACTCTATACCAATTGTAAAAATTTTGTCAGACTTTAGAATCAAAATTCTAACTACGGATTTTGAAACTCGAAACAGACGAGTTGAACTCTGACAATCCTGAACATACTGTGGTCGTACAAAGAAAAATACGACACCTGGCATGTAGAACATTTGTTCCTGAAATCTTGGGTTTGCGCTGTTTGGTCGATAATTTCGTCCATCTACAAATCAAAGTTTACCATGAACATTTTCTGTGAATTTGGAATTGAAATAAAATAGAATAATCATTGATCAATGACTTGAATCAATTTGTAGATCCTGATATGGCACAAATTTGTTCCATTTTTCAACTAAGTAATGGATAATATTACTTACAAGGTTTGTTACTAACTGTCTATTAAATATATTGAGTTGATCAATCTCATAAATGGCAAGGAAAAGTTGAGCCATCTATAAGACTGATCAACCCAATATATAACCATTAGGAGTCACTAACAAACCGAACTAGCGATTTATTTTCTTGAGGACCATAATCTTATATCCGTAAACCAGTGAAAGTGCAACATTTCAGTTTGAGAGTAAAAAAAAAAAAGTTTCATAAATCATAAACTATTGTTACTGCAAACCATCCTCCTACAAACTATAGACATTTTAAACAATCTTAATGCTCAACCACCACAACATGTCAGCTATTTCAACTTTTACAAGAATATACTCCAACTAGGAGTCTAGGATGTGTCTGCTTAAATAGCATTCTGAATGTATAAGATCAGTACACCAGCACTTAACTTTCTGCAAGAAAACTAAATCTTAAATCCTTCCATATATAATCAGAAACAATTTCCCATACAGTTACAGGATATATGTAGTACACGCAAATATTTTTTTTCCATTTCTTTCCATTTCACACCACAATTGGCAAACCAATTATGACATGAAATTTCCATGTATGCCTCCTTTTCACACATTCCAGAAATTACTGCATGTTCTTGAAATGTTAGAGGTAGATCTATATATCATACTGCTATAAAATCATACTCAAATTTTTTTCTTGTGTGTAAGCATGTGTGTGTGTGTGGGGGGGGGGGGGGATCAGTTAAAATTCTCTTAACAATGTATTGGCTTGAAAAATGTCTAACCAAGCCATAAAGCTTGTTTATCAATTCATTTTTCCCAATCCATGAATGGGTAGGATTATAAAGTTGTTAAATATTTTTTGCCACTTTATTAAGTTTACCCCTAGATGGTCAGCTTGAATTGGGGACTCAAAGAATTTTGAAGCAGTGTACAAAAGGGTCTAGAATCAACCCAAAAATAAATTTTTATTTGCCCAATTTAATTATGTTCATGTTTCCCTTCTTTATACTATGTAAATCACTATTCTTATAAAAATGAATATTTCAGTCAAATATTTAGCCAAACTTTTAAAGGCAGACAGAAACTAATTCAACTGAAAATGCCCTGTAAACACTGCCAAAGACACAAACCATAACTATGGAAAATTGTTTTTATTCCACATTAACAAGAGAGATATGCAAGTGTGAACAGTGGATTCTATATTGAGTCTTCTTCCTCCCATCCACTGGAAAAAAAATCCACTCCAAATTCTCAGAATATTTTCAAGCACAAATAAATCTTACCTTTGCCACTGTATGGTCTTCCACCAGATCCTAAGTCTAAACCAGCAAACTATAAAAGAAAAACTTATTATACAATGATGTTTCTTTATACAAAGGTAATAGGACTGCAACAATTCATTGTGGTAAACCTGAATCTCAATGCACAACATTTGATTCCTTCAATTTTCAATTCAACACCTTCAAATTACTATTTGGTTCATGTTTACTTTTCCGGAATTAAACAAAAATCAACACATTTTTTGTTTTTACTTTTAGTTAACAACTCATAACAGCAAAAGTGGCGGATGCTAGTAGTTCAAATCTCAGCAAAAACCCACAAGCGAACCTTAAGTCCCTCCTGTGGAAATATCTTGGCCTAGAATAAAACTGCAATGTTGCTATAGGTAGAACTTGTTTTACAGAGATTCATAATAAGTTGAGAAATACCATTTGAATCTTCTAAACCTTTCTTGTTTTCCTCCATTTTAGAACATGACAATTCATTTGGTTTTACCTAGAATTTTCAAGCAAGATAATAAAAATTAACTCCTACTCTATCATGATATATACCTGATGATACGATAGTATTGTGACCCTTTGCCATCAATATAATTGATGTATCGTTGTATCATTTCACCTCTACCTATTCCATTCCATTCACTTTTTTGTTCATGTTACTTTGGGAATATCTTTTCAAGTTTTCTTTCACAATTGGCCTATGTGTTATGTATCAATAAATCACCAATAAATCATCTGGGATAAGCAGGGGTCAAAACTTTTGTGTGAGCAAAATTTTTATTCAGATACAACTAATCCTAGGATCTCACAGGATTTTTAACAACATAGAATCAGACCACAACAAACCATAACTGAGCCCCCCCCCCCCCCATCTCCTGCCCAGAAAATATCCAAGATATCCAAGACAGCATGCTATCAGCTGTGGAAGTTAGCAACATTTCTGGCCCTTAATTCAATGATTCTTCAGTGTTGAAGAACATATATAATCTTATAATCATTGATTTTGGACATGTTGGAACAGAAGACTGTTTATTTACAGTATACTGAATCAAATGTATACTAGCGCAAATGAACTTTGGGCAAAAATTAGGTGAATTGATACTCCTAAATGTATTTTACAGGTTGGAACCAATTTGCCAAATGGGATAGCCCATCTGGGATATAATATCCCAAATGGGATATAAATTTTTACAGTACACAAAAATGAAAAACATTATTTTGACTATAAATATTGTAAATTCACATAAATATACATTGAATGCAATAACTTTTGGCAAGCAAGTTTTTCTATAACCCTACAGTTTACGAGATTGATCCCCAAGAGTTTTAGGATCTTCCAAAGGACCAATCTCTTAAACAGTGGGACTACGAAAGAGTTTGCTATCCAAAAGTTGTTGCTTTTTAGGTATTTTGATGCAGATTTACAGTACTTATAGTTAAAAGAAAAAAACCTTTATTTTTTGCTCTGTAAATTTATAACCAATTTGGGATATTATTTCCCAAATGGCTATTATATCCATAGAGAGATATGAAAACTTTCCTCATTAATAGTAAAAGTTACATTCATCATGGCATTAGTTTTGGCTAAAATATACACTTTCTGCATATAACTTAATCTATTTTATCCTTCTCTTCTTCAGCAGGACTGCACATATCTTAAGGAAAGGCCCAAATTGCAAGAAAATTGAATAGAGTTACTGTTCCTGATCAGCTGATTTTGAACAAAGGGCACCTTATAATATATTGAAAAAAAACCCCTTCAAATTCATGTAAATGAGTTTCTCAGTGAATAGTTTAATATAATTCTGATAATTTCCCATCGTAATTTGAAACAGGGAATGTTATTCCTTTCTATATCCATTGTGGTCGTCGCCATTTTGGATCGACCGGGGAGAGAATGATTTTTTTTCTTTCCGTCTGTTGCTTTAATGACCAATAAATATGGCAAAATCCAGTTAAAAGTCTTTCTTTCTAACCTATTTAGCGAACTAACCTGCTGCTCTAGACCTTGACCATTTTGATTATGAACATTTGACATCATAAGTCCACTCTTTTCTTCCACAAGAAAACTGTGTTGGGAGAGCCAATCAACGAGAGCCCGTGTCCGTTTATATATGTCAGCAAGTGATCACGTGACAGAGTGTCATTACTTTCGTTTTCATTTACACTGTTTGGAGGCATGATTGCCATGAAATTCATTCTATGTAACTAAATTTAAAAACTCGCAGAAACTTATGAAACTGAATTCGATCATTCTAAAGAAATGTTCACACATGCATGCATTTCAATTTGTATTGATTATTTTTATACACTTAGCTTGCCTTGCTTGGAAAGTTTCACATAGTTTTGTGATTTTTTTTAAAGGTCTTTTTGACTTAAAAATCTTTTCTTTTAATTTTTGGACTCTAATGTCTTAATAATATTTCTTAATCTTTTTTTCGGTCAGAAACGAGAAAACAGATAATGAGACAAAACGCATCATCATAAACGACGAAGTGGGATGGGGGTCAGCATGGTCAGTGGGTTAAGGAGGGATTCTTGTCTGGTTTCTAGATGAAATATTCAAAGTATATTTGCTTAACGTTATATGTCTTATATATTTAGATGTAAGGGATTTGAAAGATCATATTTTTCTTTCCTCATCATAATTGTACAACTTTGAATAGAAATGGTAAACTGAGTTTGAAATCTAGCAGAGACTATATTTTTGACGGAACGGCGGTGTATGAAAATATCTCCTTTTCTGCTTCTCAAAATTACTATAGAACAATGAATATTTAGTTTAAAAAATTTTAAACAATCAAAGACTTCAAGAAAATTTCAAATGTAAGTATATTAATAATAATGGACTGAAGTTTAAAAAATGTATCAAATAAATATGATTTTCCAAACAAACTACAATTTTGTTGGATTTTAAAAGCTTCCAATCTAAATACAGATTTGAGCAAATAATCCGTAAAAAGTGTTTTTTTTTCTCTCTTAGTAACCCGTCAAAACTTTTTGTTTTTGTATCAATTTGTATCTTTATATGACTACTTTACCATATGTGAAAATAAGAAAAATTTAAATATACGAAGGATATAAAAATAACTAATATATCCTAAAAATATAGGAAAAACAGAGGAAATTCGGATTAGCCAATATCTATTTTAGTTAAATTATTTATGTCAATTTGGTAGCTAGTATCATCTAATAGACCTTATATATGGTAATATCTTTTTAAGCAAAAAGAAAAACATTTAATCTTTTAAAATAGAAGTGGGCATGGCATGATTGGCAACAGGGAACAAGGAAAAGATAATAACCTTGACCTGACCTTGCTTTTAAAATAAAACGGTCAAATTTAACCTAATTGATACCATCTCTTAATGATAATGTCTTCTTGGATCTATGAAAATTTCATTAATTTTTAAATACAAGAAATATGAGAAGAATCCCTCCTTAAAATACACGTTTCAAAAAAGCACTTATCGGGAGGGGGTATAGGGGGGCTGCATAATCTCGAACATATTCTTTACTAGATATTAATTTAGTACGAAAATCAGTGCTCATAGTTCCACCAATAGTAGATTTAGTAATAGAGACTAACAACGACTCGAAATCCGGCCTACTAATTTCAGAAAGTATTAATGAAGAATCTGGTTGTTCTTACATGTAGAACTAATTAAGTACATGGAAGACTCGCAGTCAGGAGCTAGGCCCACGAACGGCAAACGTGCAAAGAATATGACGATTTGATCTTATAATTATGGTAACTGATTTCTGGAGAGCAGGATGGTAGACGTGCGACTTCCCAATCGATGTGGGGTCACGAGATTTCACAGCAGGTCATATTGGAGGAGGGTGGCCAGGGGCGAAGAGCTTTAAGACTTGTCTGTCCATCATACTAAAAAAAAAAATAAATAAAAGAAGTAATATGTTTTGGTGCAAAAATGTCGCCAAAGTTAAAGTTTTTGAAAGTCAATCTTCGATTTCAAGGTCATGATGTCAAAAATCATAGAGATCTTCACAAGTAATGCACAGGTGAAACTTTGAAAATACTAGTCCGGCCTGTCTCATCTGGTGCAAAAGTTACGACCGAGGTTAACATTTCTGAAAGTAGGTCAAACGTTAAGGTCAAGGTTATGTAGTAAAAAAAAATCATACTACATATGGAAGGTCTTGTCACAGGTAATGTCCATGAAAAATATGAAAGCCCTGTCTCTACAGTTGCTAAAACTTCGACCAATGTTAACATTTTTGAAAAGGAGGTCCAACCTCACCTTCAAGTTTATGAATCACATCTCAAAGGTCTTGTCACAGGCAGTGCACATGTAAAATATGAAAGTCCTGTCTCTTCAGGTACAATATCTACGGCCAAGCAAAGTTTTTGAAGCCCTATCTTTTCTCATTCAAAATCTATAGCCAAGGTTTGCTTTTGAAAAATATGTAAAATTTCAAGGTCAAAATAAAAAAAAATATAGTACATGTACAGTATTGTATATTAGGAAAGGTCTTGTCGAGGGTAATGCATATGTATAGTGCGAAAGCCCTATCTTCTCATTTAAAAGTTATGGCATATTTTCTTTTACTGTCCCAAAGTTTATCCATTGCGGTCCCTTTTGTACGAATGGATTTTTGATTAAATTGATAAAATAATAAAATTTGATGTATGTGCAGTAATAATTGATCTTCTTGAGAAGGCAAAATTGTAAATCTTTTCATATTACTTGAGAATGTAACCATTGCTAGAACAACCTTTTTATTATGATGCAGAAATGCAGAACTGATAAAGTATCTATCTATCTATCTATCTATCTATCTATCTATCTATCTATCTATCTATCGATGACAAATTGTCATTGATACGTATTTTAACTTATTTGTCTTCCCTTTCTTAAAAAGATATATTTCTATTTTATTCATTTTCATACTCTTAATGATTTGATAATACATTTGTATTTTAACTTAATAAAATGTTTTAGTGTCAATTCTATTAAAATATGCATCACAGATTTCTGATAATTATAAATACATGTAAAGTAAGGTACTGATAATAATGCTTTTGAGAGCTTGTAAAATATTGATAAATATGTAGGTATTTTAAAATTATAATTATGTAGAATCTGATTAATTAATATCTAATAAAAGAAATATAAATGATAGGTATTTAGAGAATGAACTTGTACAACACAGGTAAGAATTACAGGTAATAAGCCTAAAACAGACTGTACACGGGAGACCACCCTGGTGTGTAAATCCCAATTTTGGCTAGATGGGAATAATAAAATTCAAAATTTTGGCTAGATGGGAATAGATATATTGATAGCAACTACACTAGTTATAGGTATTCCCTGAAATTAATTTTAATGTTAACCAATATGAAGGCCATGCAGATAATATATAAACAATTTTGTTGCACTCCAGACTAAAGTACGATTTAGAATTAAAAATTATTTAATATTAATGTCATAAAACACCTTTAAAAAGTTTTGAGAAAGGAAAAAATACCGAGCATCTTACTTCACGGAAGGAACACTGGTTGCACATGAGTTCAACTTTAAATATCGATTTTTGTTTGCATTAATGCATAATTGATAACTCTAACATTTTTTGTTGCACTCCTGATCATGGATATATAAGAGTTTAAAGAAAACTGAAAAGCTTCGAAGCATAAATTACATTAAATTACATCAGAAAATGATGTTCAGTTCTGTATATCAAAATAAAGCTGTTGTGGAATTAACCTAAATTTATATCAATTTTTCTGTGTTCTGCTTCTAAATTTAAAAGAAAAAAAAGAAAAAATAATAAACACATCTGGATTGATAAAATTGAAAAGGAGACAGATTCTAATACCGGTAATAACACTGGCATTGATTTAGTGTTTAATAATGAAATGGGCGAATTAAAAAAATGACCAAACACAAATTTATCAACATGCACTAAAAGTACAGGCAATAGGAATAGATTTCTATGTCTCAGCATATGTCTTTAGATGGTGTCTAAATACCTACCAAATATCTCATTGATATCTCGATTCACAAAAAAACTATGCCCAAAAATGATGCTAAAAATGTCAGGAGTGCAACACCTTTTTGTGACATTTTGAAAATTCAATATTTTTTGAAGATGTGTGAAATAAATAATATTGGTTTATGTAAGAAATAAAGACTTTCCTGATAATATTCAAAGCATTGAGCTTTAGATGTAGACTGTAGCAACTTTTGTTTGACCAAATTGTGGCCATGGCTTATGTTAAAAAAATGCTATACCATGTCAGGAATGCAACAAAAAAAAATGTAGTGTTGCCAATAAAACATCGATTTTAAAAATCTGAAAGACAATTAGGTCAAAAAAGAATTATCGAGGTGTAAAACAATAACTGATGTACAATATAAAACTTAAAAAATGTTATATAAATCACAAGCAGCATTAAGGAGAGTCAAGTATCTGTGCATACTCAAGAATACCAGGAGTGCAACATTTGATATTTTGCTCCCCAGCATGAAAAAAAAAACAAACTTTTATCAGTATATGATGCTCTGGTATTTATTTTGGAAAATAAAGACACAAAAAACATTTTTACCAAATAGATTTATCAACTACAGGGTCTGTGCTTCAGATCTATATTTCTGTGGTCAGGAGTGCAACACATTTTTTTTTAACGATTCAAGTAATATGATGAAAACACTTGTATTCATGTCAAGAAATATTCTTTAATTAATAATGATCTATTTGAATAATTTAGTACAAAATTATTGACAGTTTTTCAAAATTAAAATCCTTCTCCTTTTCAATTTTATCAATTCAGATGTGGTTTTATCTTTTCTCTGATTTTTTTTTTTTATGAATGTAAAAAATAAACACACTGAAAAATTGTTATAAAATTCACGTAATTCCATCTCTGACTGAAACAACAGAACAAGTTCTGATGTAATTTTCGCTTCACAACTCTACTTTAAGACTCCCATGCTCTTGGTCAGGAGTGCAACAAATATGTTAGAATTAGTGCTGATCAAATATGAATAAATATAAAGAAATAATTGATGAGTAGAATGTGTCTGGTTGACCTCAGTTGCTTACAGTGTTTGTCCTGCGAAGAAAAATATACTATGAAATATATTTATCTTCTAAATATATATTTTAGCTAGTT